CTGCTCCTTGTTCTTTCTTATGAGCTAACAAAATTATTCTGTTTTATTTTATTCTATTTTTTCTCTCTTGATAGAAGAGAACATATTTGAAATATCAATAAAGACAATCATTAATATTCTGTGTGCAAAAAGCCACAGTTGGCCGGAAAAGGTGCCTTTTGCATGCATGGTAACATAGGCCTTTCCTATCCAGTTATCGACTGACAACTAAGCCATTAAACTTTAAACAAAAGACTTCTGCAAAAGATCAACCATCACTTTAGATATCCCTACTTGCTGTGTACAAACACAGAGTCATTCAAACAAGTAATTCCCTAGGGAATGCATTGACGGAATTTTTAGAATATTTTCAACTCGATCGCAGTACTATACTAACGGCTCCGCCCCTGAGGCGTCGCCAAAAAAGGTATAAGGGTAAAAAAAAGTGATGGCCGTCTTAGCATAGTATATACATTACTCAGATATGGGAAGGCCCATATGTCGGGCCAGTCCCATTTTGAAATTCGGGAGTGATGTGCATGTGGCTATTTCTGTGGTCTATGATGTTATAAACTATGCGTTAGACTAGAATTATCTGTTTCTGCAGCCAATCAACTTTACACATGACCACGTTTGTGTATCCAAGTTTACGAATTCTACCCTTCAAACCTCTGTCCTATCATGAAGCAAATTTAAACTGTAATTTCCAATACAAGAAATTGGACTCACCCAAATTTTCGACTGTACAACTCCAGGCTTTGTTTAAAGTTAAAACTTTTGATCCAACACACAAATTCTCTCACCTAGATCTTTCGACCAGTCACTCTGGTCTTCCTCAGTAGACTGACACAGTGAAGCTTGTCACGTGGCTTCTTTGAAGTGTCTTATTTTTGCCCAGTCTTTGTCAAGGAATGAGCAATCCACCGCTTCCGTGACGTCACGCAGATAACACACGTGGCTTCGTGAGCAGTGGATCATAGGTTGCAGAAAGTCTGTGGCGCCCCGTCTCTGTTGAGGGATGGTTGTAATGCCCTGATTTATACAATTGAACCTGATGGTTCTGTGGTAAAAAAGATGAATCTCGGTTCACTCAAGTATGTTTTGTTCATGTATCTAAGTATCTTAATGTGTAAATATAGCAGAATAGG